GGAAAGGTCAAATTGAGATCTATGTACAACAAGGTCTATGTACAACAAAAAACTGCATAATTTGCCCAAATGGTAGAGACGGTGATTGCATGAGTTCGGGTACAGTCTATCTGATCTCTTGTAAAGCGTGCGGGCACGAATATGTTGGCGAAACGGGTAGACCGCTCTGCGTCCGCATAAAAGAACACCTAGTCGGTAAATCTAAACTAAAACACAATACTCCACTAGGCGCGCATAGGATGCAAGAACACAACGGAGAAGATTTTGAGGTAGGAGTCACTATCCTTACGCAGGAATCGAAAACATCAGCGCGAAAAACTCTTGAAGCGTTTTGGATCAATGCCAAAAATTCAAAAATGAACCGCAAGGAGGAGTGTCTTGTCATCACGCGTGACCTAGCGCCATACCTCAGGCTGATCCAATGATCTGACATGGACCCAGTTATCGACCATGTATTACTCTGTGCGGCGGCTATCCACCAACTAACTTAAATACTTACAACAAATAAACGGTAGGTGTTTGAATGAAGCTGTTTCTTATGCGAATACAAATCGATTTATCAAGTTTTATCTGCTAGGGTTATGAAAGTGTTTGGCTGAGTAGATCGCATCTCAATTTGACCTTTCCAGGCTCTGAAGAAGGCGAAACCGCCGAAACGTCAGCAATTGTGTTCTAATAAATTCTATATTAACAACCTCGTGTCTGCTTATTGATGAAAAACTTTATGAGTTAATTTTAGTAATGAACAGAGAAGAAAAGCTGGGCTTCACGGACGGATGGAAAGTGTTATTTGTTTATTTCTTCTCGGCACTGTCTTACGATATTTGCTTTAGAAGATAGTGATTCGTTTTAGGCTGTCGACCGGTCACGTATGTTAGGCAAAGCTTCTAGAACGGAGGTGTGTAGAATGGATTCATATGAATATTTAAGTATTTAAGTCTCACTTTCCTTTATACGAACCGTCTCCACACCTATTCAGCTGGTACCAGCGCTTCTTGAGTCCGAGATTTGAGACTCGCTTTCTCATATCCATTATCAACGAAGATCTTCAAACTTTCTACGTGTGGGCTCGACAGCTGCTTGAGGATTTCTTTTTCGCCGTGAATGTTGTTGAAAGCTCTTAGAGTCGATTCTCCGTGGAGTTCTAAGATAGCTTTTGCCGCGTTCAGCTTGTACTTAACAAATTTGGTCCTAATTTCCCAGCTCCAGAGGCGTAGGAGACTTAGATGAGTCCAGAGCAGGGTCGAACCAGAACTGTTCTCGCAATGGTCGTTATCCCTACCATTGCGCTACCCGCCAATTGTCAGTAAAGACTCAAAATAGCAAAATATTTACTTTAGAGCCATATTACAAGTTCGTTCTTGTTCTCTGTGGCATGCGCTTCCCTTGCGTCGTTTCAATTTGGTTACAATAGTGGCTGCGTGAACGCACCGTCTGCGGTTGAGTTTCTCTCATCAGTTATGAAATACGTTATTTTCTTCTTATCGACTCGCTCTTTTTTACCCTCTTTTTTCGTTATTTTTTCCTTCCTTTTTTTCTTTCCCTTGTGAGAAGCACGTATTTCTTCAGCTGCTATATTCAGTACGTTTTTAGTTAATCACGGAGTGGATTATTGCTTCTCATCAACGAATGTTCAACACTGTGTTAGATAAGTCGTCAGCCGATTTTACCTGGTCTGTGATGTCCAGAAGTTATCTATAGCAATAAAAACAGTTTTTGAAATTCATGCAAAAGTTTTTGTGGAGTTAGGGTTATTCTTTGTTATCTTGCTTAGATATTTAGATGGTGCGTCAAAAGCCATCTAGAGATCCGATCAGTTTCGTGTGTGGAAACGGTTTCCACTTAAGTATGTATTGCTGCCGCCCTGGAAGAGGTAGTTGCGTAGCGACAATGCACAGTCCGATTTACAAACACCAATGGCTGTCGACAGTGATGATCTGAGAAAGTGCTAGCGGAGGCACCTATACGCGGAGGAAATACAGGAATGTAAAGAATAAAGTGGGAGAAAACTCGCCTCATGACGAATCTTCGGCACGAAGTTTAATAAATCGAAATAGATGCTCTTTGACTACGGACATCACATCCTACTTGTATTTTTGATGAGGAACGAAAATGATGAACTAAGTCGAGGAATCTTGTAGAACGAGGACAGCATGAGTCAAAATTGAGCCTTTCAGAAAAGGAGCCGACGGCGTTACTAATCCAAGTCGGTCCGTCCGTTGCGTTGATAAGCATCACAGACATGGATCGAGAACTCAACTATATTGTACGTTTCACTTACTGGAGCGCTTTGGGATTATCTTAAAACTATAGGCGACATTTGTTAGAGCTTCTAGAATATGGTTAGCATGAAAGTCGTAGATAAGTCACTCATATCATAAGAACAGGTGAATATGAATAGGTGAGAAGAAGACTAGAGGTATGGCGATTCATTCTTCGACCATCTAGAAGGTCCGTTGTGTTTCTGGACTCCTTCAACAGATGTTTTGATAGTTGGAAAAGATCCACCTCTCGCATAGTAGTAATCGTCAATGCTACGCACGCAAGCAACCGCCGCTATGAACGACGACCGTGAGAGACGGCAACGAATGGAAATTGTACCAGTTGAACGTCATCAATTTCTGTTGCCGGTCATACAAAAATCTCTATGTTCATTTCATTCAATACATTTCATTTTGAATAAGATGCCCTGAAAATAACCAGATTTCTTCCAAACCCAGCTTGGTTAACCAATAAGCTTAAACCTAGCTCGAAGATCATATTTCTCTGTGCTAGTAATTGCGTATAACGTAATTGGATATTTTTCGAATAAACCATAGAGAATTCAAGAACGTATGAGAATATGTGGTAATGAACGGTACTATTTTTACATAGGAGCATGGTAGTATCAATATTTGGAATTGGTGCAGTGGTTGGTGGATTATTATCGAGCATGCTGGTAGATAAGGTCGGTAGACGAGGTGGTCTGTCCTACACGAACATTATCGCGTTTTTTGCCGCCCTTATGGGACTGGCTAAAACGATCGATGTCTATCCAATGATGTTGTTTGGACGATTTTTCATCGGAATTAATGCCGGTGAGGATGTCTTTTTTCTTGCGAATGCATCTGCTTCTATTAATTAGACTCGTCGTTTTGATTATGTAGAGTGGCCATCAAAGGATTTTCGCTTTGAATTTACTAAATTGTGTCAAAAGCATTCGTTTAAAGGTCTTGCCGTCATGGTACCGATGTACCTTACTGAGATAGCACCAATAAATCTTCGCGGAACACTCGGATCATTTCATCAGCTGTTCATAACATTCTCCATTCTTGTTTCCCAAGTATGCTTGTTGTTATATAGAAAACTCAAAATGACTTACTAAACTTCAAACACTTTTAGGTGTTCGGTCTTCCACAATTTTTTGGCACAGTAGATAGATGGCCTTACATTTTTGCATTTGTTGCTGTACCCGCTCTTCTACAAGTGATTGCATTGCCGATGATACCCGGGTCGCCTAAGTTCACACTGTACATACGAGGTGAAGTCGAACGAGCAATACAGAATTCAGAGCTGCTGAGAGGAACGGGCAATGTAAGTGCGAATAATGTTTTCACATAACCATAAAGCACCCTCTCATTTTAGCCCTATTATCCCATAACGCCCCAAAGCTGTTTTTCTTGGCTGGCCAGGTCGAATACGGGTAATTTCTCGTCGACTACGAACCTTTCGGTTTCATGACAACAAAAAACAGTTTCTCAATAATTAAAGGGTTTGAAAGGTTACGAATAGGACAGGGTTAACATACACCTTGCTCCATCGTTCTGTGGGTATAAGTGATGTGTATACCACTATTCACTGCGTCACTACGGTTCGTCATGCAAATACATTGCTGTCGGTGTCTGGAAGTGTTTCGCTGTTTGTGTCGAGTCTACTTCGGTATTTTTGCATCCAAGGATTTTACAAAATTTCATACAATAACCATTGCGATTAGAATGAAACAGTAGTGGATTATTTATCAAATCACCGGCAAATAAATTTTCCCGGATAAAGATTTTTTGCAAATCATTAAAGGTGTACAGCGGTTTTTCGCTCTGAGTCGTCCTCTTTTGATTTCCTTTTAGAGAGTGCGATAAAAAAAGACTCTAGAACCCATTAAACCCACCATACACATTCACACACACTCACCCATCTCCATTTATATGTACACATACACACCCAAGTCGGCACATAGACACATCCACGTGCACATATGGACACACCTACGTGCACACATAGATACATCCACGTACAAACGAACATGTACACACATGAATACACACACACATACATACACATACACACACACCGACACACCGACACACACACACACACACACACACACACACACACACACACACACACACACACACACGTACTTACAAACACAATCCTAAGAAACTGATTTCCATTATTGTTAGGTTGCCTTATACATCTAAAATATCATTTATTCAAACACAGGGTATATGGAATTCAGGTCTGGCTCAAGGTGCAGCAGATGCGTGCGGGAGCCATTAGAACAACAAACGACATTCCGTCAATGCTCGACATGTTTCGTGGGTCATTACTATGGCCGTCTACACTCACAGTTGTAATGATGGTTGCACAGCAGCTAACTGGTACCTGGTATTTGTTAGTAGGGAACATAGTGGTAATTTATTCACATTCATTTTCATGTCAGGCAGTCGCAAGTGTTGGAAAAAAGTAGACAATTGATAGTAAGATGTCTATAGCACTAAAAGACACACTTCTACTACATTGTTTTGTGCTCCAATCATGTCTTTATATTAAGCCAATGTGTTTTTTGGTGGGTCATCCTTTAATTCAAGGCATAAATGCGGCAATTTTCTACTCAACAATAATATTCAAGCAGACCGGTTTTAAGCAAGATTCCAGTTACGCCACTTTGGCTGTGGGTCTCATTAATATTCTGACGACGATCCTTGCCGCTATATTGGTAAGCAGTTCTTCTCGTAAACTGTTAAGTGTCATAACTTCAATGATGCTGAGATATGATGAGACAGCAATTGCTGTGGCAAAGATCGATAGAACTAGCTGAGAGACAGGCGAAACGAAGGACCCGCATGGTGTGGTGGTGAATGCGTTACTCCTCGGAAAAGACAATAGCGCGTTCGTTCCCCCACTGCATACACCTGCGGTTCGGAGTTTTGCAAATATCTCAGCATCATTGAAGTTGTATCTCGCAATATACCCTGCCATTAAAAAGAGTAGGCAGAAAATAATAAGATAAAAATGTTAAGTGTCATTGGTAAGCAGTTCTTCTCGTAAACTGTTAAGTGTCATAACTTCAATGATGCTGAGATATGATGAGACAGCAATTGCTGTGGCAAAGATCGATAGAACTAGCTGAGAGACAGGCGACCTCTGCACGATGTGCGCAATGATGTATCTCCGGAAGAAATACAAGTTGTTACCACCGGACATTGTCATTATATATCCACCATCAGCATCGTGTATAAAAGGGCATCACTGAGTGAGGATGCCTCATTCGAGAAGATGGCTCGCTGAGGAAGATCTGGCTCGACAGGAAGGCGAAGACGCAACGTCGAGGCAAACAACAAGCATGGACCATCGACTCGGATCACCGGCTCTGAGGAAGACGAAGACGTCGAAACGTTAGCCGAAAACAAATATATTTATCAACCTCGTGCAAGCTTATCAAGAAAGAATATATATTGATTAGTCACAACGAGGTTTAGGGAAGGTCGGTTTCGAAATGTTAAGTGTCAGTTGCTAGAAAGAAATCAGTGGATTAGTAATCTTCCATTTTTCCCTATCACGTGTAAGAGTAGCCCAGTGAGTTCTGCTCCCTCTAGGAATTCGTCGATTATCATATCTTTCTTCTAGGTTTTTCGTGGAGAACTCTGACCATCGAGTCGGTGGTCTTCCTGCAGTGTATTTGTCATCCCGGGGAATCCAGTCACTAACGGCTCTTGTCTATCGGTTATCATTCATACGCATTACGTGTCAAGTCTACCTTATCTCCCACTGTTTGGCGTAGAGAACAGCATCTTTGATTTTTGATCGTTGACGCAGGTCGGAGCTTCGGTTCCCTTCCCTTAGTTGTGTGACACGGCATATTCCTAGCATAACCCTTTCGGCTGCGCGTTCAATAACGTTAAGTGATCTTTTATCCTGCTTACGCATGGAGCAGGTTTCTGACGCATACGTTAGGACAGCAAATAACGTTAAGTTGAAAAGTTGGGTTCTCCTTCATTTCATATGACAGAAGGTGGACGTGGCTATCGAAGAGATCCGAGTAGTATTCGTGAATGATTTTCTCCATTGCCTTTCTGGACGCTGTAACTGTTCCGTCTGGGTGCAGGAGTGCAATCATTTTGGTCCTGTAATTGGCGAAGCTTCGGTGGGCTTTGCGAATGCTTTTCCCAGTCTCTGCAGCTTCGACTAATACTGCCGCTCTTCTCTCCTTAAGATCTTCTTTTATCGTTTGTCTGCATTGTTTTGCAAGTTTGGACGTTAGTTCGCGGTTGTCTGCAGCTGGTACGATTCCACGCTGGCGTATCAGCTCGAGTGTTTTTGGAGACAGACGTCTCTTGGTGACTTTCGAACTCTGAGCTTTCATAGCGCTAACGTGAATATGTTGAATGAGCCAATCGTATTCTTCATCGATGTTATCGACAATGGCATCTTCCCAGCAGCCGACTAATGAATTGAATAGCTTCCAGTTTATTGTGGTTCTAAGATTTCGGTTTTGAATTTAGCGCTTTTTTCTCCCTTCCGCGAGAAATGGAATCTTGCACGAAGGAGACGATGGTCTGATCCCGTGTAGAATTTTGGGACAACAGCGACATTGGTTAGGCAAAACCTTCTATTTACTATGATGTGGTCTATTTCGTTATGGTGTTCTCCATTGGGAGACTCCTACGTCCAGCGCTGAGAGTAGGGCTTCTGGAATTGCGAGTTACCATGGATTGTCTTGGTCGCCATGATAAACTCAGATGGCCGCTCACCGTGTTCGTTCCGTTCTAATCCGTGGGTCCCAATGTGACGTCCTTCAGACGTTCTTCTTGGTTCAATCTTGGCGTTGAAATCTCCAATGATGACCTTGAAGAATGTGTGGTCTTCTCTGTAGAGCTTCTCCATGTCCATATAGAACGCTTCGACTTCTTCTTCGTCATAGTTTGATGTAGGCGCGTAAACGACGAAGATTGTCAAAGCCGGAATTGATCCACGTCTTCTTAATCGTAAACATCCGATTCGGGTTGTAAGTTGTTTGAATGAATCGGTGTTCATGGACAAACTCGTGTTGACGAGAACGCCGACGCAGCCGACTCCTCTACTGTCGAGTGTTCCGAGGAACAGTTCTTCTCCGGTGTCAAAGGCGGCGTTGAAAGGTTGGCGTCTCCTCGTCTCGGCCAGTCCGATGACGTCGTACCTTATCCTTCTTGCTTGCATGAGCAAGTCTTCTATCGAGGAATCGGATGCGAGTGTACGTGCATTGCAGGTACAGATCGTCACCATAGTTCTTTGAAGTCCAGGCAGCTTCGATTGGCCTTGAGATTTTAGCAGCCTCTCCGTACTCGTCCTACCTACCCAACGCTGCCAAATTAGGCCTCTTTCGGGGTCAGGGGAATGAGGCCCGTTTTTTTTTTTACTGTGTTTAGCATTTCTGATACCCACGTATAGCTTGCTGGGCTCTGAACCTGAATGTGAAGGCTGGATATACTCACGGGTGGCTTGCCAGGCTCTTCCAGAGTGGACATGGAGCTTATTTGTTGGAGAAGACTCTTAACCGCCTCCCATATACTTCCTGGTCTCTTGATTGCAGGGTTTTGGCCGAATTGACTCGTAGAATACAATCCGCATAAGCAAGAACGCACCCTCACACGCATGCATGAATATGCCTAGCAAATACAGAAAGTGTGTGCCAGATCAGCGCAGTAGAAACAGGGAGTCCATCCCCTGAGTCCACCTGCGTCTCAGGGAAGCAAAGGTCGCTTTTCGTCTGCGATTAACCCTCTATCCGCCACCTAAGGACGCGCCACGTGGCCTCGCCACTAACCGGCTCGAGGTCCCTCATATGAGGGAGATCTATGGTAGTCGTGTAATACACAGATATAAATTATTTCGCGATGTGTCGTTACGGCCAATTATCGATTACTGTAATTCACTTTATACTACTAGCGTTGCTTAACAGTTAATGAAATCAAAAATGTGTTTTTCTCCAGAGTTGTGTTGGATGTTATACTTCAGGTTGATCATCCAAGATTTGGACGTCGTGTGTTGTTACTTGCCGGCATAGTCGGCATGATGATATCGTTGATATTCTTAATAGTCTTCGTTTCTCTGAGTAAAACTGGAAGTGTATGGCCAACTATTTCGCAGCGGTGTTCGTTCTACTGTTTGTCATGTTTTTCGCCGCAAGGCCAGGTGTGTTACTATGTGGGTAGTAAAAGATACGTTTCCTCAATATCGCTATGTGATAGCAGGACTCTGAAAACTGCACCAATAGAAAACAAACCTTTCTTTTCCTTAGCGTAAAGCATAGCTTGATAATTTTTTGCGCCCCGTGCCCCAAACGGCTGATTTCTTTAATTCTACAACTTAACTGGAGCAATCTTGTGTAACTTTTTGTTTGCTGCTTATTATTCTTTCATGCAACGGTATTATGTGGAATGATGCTGAGACACTTGTAAAACCCAGACCCCATGCCATATTCGAAGTCGGGATTGCTCTTTGAGGGGGCTCGCGTGTTACGCACTACACCACTGAATTCCTTGTTTTGCCCTAACGGTGCTATTAGCAATCACCCATCAAAGGGAATGATCTGGGAAGCACAAATCGACATTGAACCCACTTTAACTGAAGCTGCAGTCGAAATCAAAATGTATAACCTCTTGTTTACTGCTTGTTATAACTTCATAGCAGCTGTAGGTGAAACGCAACCACAGTGGAACCTATATTCTTTTCGAAAACCGAAGACGAAAACGTTTGACATAGCCTAGCTCCTATATTTTAAAGCCAGAAATGTTTCCAATACTTCTACAAAATGTCGAAAAACACTAAATCTATAGCTCATCGTCATAAAATGTGTAATGAACATTAAGAACTGCACGCTTTGGACAAAGTGATTTGGGATTCCAGGATCGATCCCATGGTTTTTTCCGTCTGAAATCGTTTTCACTAACGCCCGTGCTAATGCATGTGCTCTCACAGCAGTGGCTAATTGGGTGACGAATTTTTTCGTCAGTTCCACGTTTGTTATTGTTCATGTGGGTTGCAGATTTCATCACAAGCCGAGGTACCTTTTTATATTTAATACTGATGAAAGCAAATAGGGTGTCAATTCTCTTATTTTCGTAATGTTTTCGATAATGATTCATAAAATTTACCTTTAAATGACGTCAGAAGTCAGATATCTGGTTGATGCTTACGGACGACGTGACCTCCATAGGAGTTAGACAGTGCGAAAATTAATGACCGCTTCCATTTTAAAGGAACATATCGCAGCTTATGCTGTATTCTATCAATTCCGGTATAAAATGTTAGGATTCACGAAAGTTTGCCCACGGGATGAAAGTTCTTTTACTTTACCGCAATGACGATGAAATTCTAGTTTTCTCGAGTCAGTGGCAAATATTTCTCCCACCTTGCTACCTTGATATCTTTTAAACATGCTTTATGTTTGGAACGTTGAAGCAAGTAAATAAGCAGGACCCCGACCAGCAGGACCCAACTTGCTCCATGCAGTAGCTGTCGCTCTCCCTTCGCAAATTTTAAAGACGTGCATTTCCTCGTAAATTCTTTGGAATTTTTAATTCTAAACAAGTTTGCATTTGAAAGAAGACTGCATAGAGGTTGCCTACGTGATTAGTGCAATAGGTGGGGTCACATCTTTAGATCTACGAAGTTATGAACCTCTAATATACTTCAGAAATCATCACCAGCTATCATAGAGTCCGCTTCTTCTCGAAAGGGTTAACCACAATAATTTATTATACCTTATTCAGAACGCTAACCATGAGTTCTCGCTTATTGTATTCTTCTTTTTTCTGACTCTTTACCTTGTCTTCGTACGGAAATGCGTACCAGAGACAAATCGTAGAGCAATCGAAGAAATCGTTACCGGCTTTGAGGAAAAGGAATAAGTGCGGATCCCTCATGTCGAGTCTTTACTGTCGAGTATTTCCTTTGTTATTTCATTTCTCAGTGTGAACCACATTCATATTATTCGATTTTCATGCGTAGATGCGATATACACCTAGACAGATCTACTGTAACTTTGTGAATATCTGTAGCAATAACACTAAGTCGTCTAAAAGTCAACATTGAAACTAAACGATGTGTTTTCCAAATTTTTGGAATAGTGATCGTTCCATCAGCCGTAGTTATTGCCTAGTGTTAAGATAGCAAAGCACTTTACCTAGTGCTCTTCTTATCCTGTCTTCTAAAGCCTGTTACCTGATTTTTTGTCCAAGCCAGTGTGGTTCTGGCTTTTTTTGCTATGGTGAAAATTCTCTATAACAATAAAAGCGTATGTTTTCTCTTGTTGTTTCTTTTCTCTGATCTGCATTCATGGATAATGTTTGTACACTGAAAGAAAAGCAGTGTAAAAATAACTTGGTGGTACAATTACAGTAGTCGTTGTGACTTCACGAAGGCAACCAATAGACATATTTCACATAGCGATTCGTTTCCAATTTCACTAATACTGGTTAGCAGCGAGTCGCTCTGTAAATCAACCTCCAGCTCTTGCAATTTATTTCGAAGAGTGCGTTGTCGCTAATAAAAGTCATAAATATCCCGTATGGGACGTGTTTAGTCAGTGGTTAGATGTGCTCTCACTGCAGACATCGGTGGTGGCCCGTTTCTTTGCCACAGGCTAATAAAGCCTTCCATCTCCATAGTTTTGCTACTCGATTTGTCTAAGAGGACAAAAATACTAATTTGATAGTTCCCAGGATCGACTTTCTATTAACCTCGGCATTCGGTCATGAATGCGTCGTTTTCTTGCTCAGCAGTCGCGAGGTTATTAAACAGCATACATTTACTTCCATAGAAAAAAAACAGTACAATACAACGCTAGCTGACGTTTCGGTAGCATCGCCTTCTTCAGAGCTTGGAGGTATACTGATATACAATCTACTAGGCCAAACGCTTCAATAACACAAAAAGACGAAAAAACTCTATGGTAACTACATGATCAACAGCTTCTCGAAAAACTTACCGCTTCTTCGTGACTTCCAATGAGGAAATTTAGAACAGCTGATTATAGTCGCATATGGTTGTTGACTGCACCATCCCACATAAGAAATCGATGCGAACATACGGGGTCAGGTCGCGTACGACCTCCGGGCATTCATCCCTATTCATTGTAGGGTTTTTGGAATTTATCCAAAAAGCCTCAAGAAGTTTTCGCGCTGGTGTTTTAATTTCCAAACTTGATACATCGGTAGGTTTTCGCGAGTCATTTTGTAGGAAAACATGCATTTTGTTATCTCTACTATATTAAGAATGGGTGTAAATGGCATGGCGCATCCTTTACTGGTATATTAGCGCCAAATGCTTTGTCTTTTATTCTTTTCGCAATAGAACTTGCAGTTAACTTCTTTGCAGAACTCTATTCTTTCAACAATTCAATTCAATCCAATAATTGGCTAGCTTCTTGATCAATAAATTGGTCTACCTTTTTTAACGGTTTTTATCAGACCGCGAAAGACAGATCCGTTTTCAATGGTCCTGCTGGTCCCAGTATTTCCACTCGTCTTATGGTGTTACAACCAGCATCCATAGAGGTAGTCGGATTGGTGTACAGAATGGGCTGCGACTTGAGGATTTGTAACCTTCTTTCCTCATTCTGTTAGACCTTTCCTAGAACTTTACCACAGTCAACAGCTGTTCTTTATATAGAACTTTGTTGCTTTGCAACTCGGATCCGTCAGGAATGACAGAGATTCCTATGCCAGCAGCGAACGTCGGAAAACGATGTAGAATGGAAAATCGACAATGTTTGGCACAGCAATTATCACTGAAAAATGCAAAGATTGGACTGTAGTAGGTTTTCTACTCATACAGATAGGTACGTAAGTCCTTAGGTAACGACTTAATATTTTTTGTTTTATACACAATAAATTCTCTATATTTTTTAAAATCGACTATCGTTTAGTCTCGCATGAGTAATGAGCGTCGTCTTGCAGAGATAAGTTGAAATGCGACCATCATAAAATTTTATGCCTGGACTAAACGATGGTTGGCCTCCAAGGAGATCACCCCACGTTTTGCCAAATAATATAATTCCGATGCTGCACGATTGATTCTGTTCATGAAAACAAATTATCATCAATGTGAAATCACTCCCCACTGTGGTTTAGCGTCTGCCTCTTCTTGGCAGGGAGGCGTTCTTGGGTGTCAAAGTGCGATATGTTTATCGCTCCAGGGGAGACTACCAAGCTGGGAACAAAGCCGACGTTTCCATCAGAAAACCCAGATAGAAGTGAGCCAATACCAGAAATCACCAACGTCCTGGTATCAAATTAGTCGCACTCCATCTGATCCATGACGGCCGGGGCCGGCGAGTACCTGGGGTGTTGACCACATGAGGAAGTGTTCAGCAAGGCTGATCTTGTGACTGCAGAGATCCACATAGGCTAAACCAATAGAGCTCCTGCCTCAGTACGTGGTATAGTGGGCGATTCCACCAACCGCGTGGAGCGATGAGACAACCGGTGATGATCGAGCTAGTCTCGGGTTGCACAGGACGTCATTGGAAGCAGACAAAACGAAAACGCCCATGACACTCCAAAAAGACTGCTCTGCACCTATAACACTATATCTGCCGTGGTTCCTAGTGGAAATTAGGTCCTCGAGTCAGTTCTCGGCACTCTCTGATCACTGCCTTCGAGTAGGATGCTCAACTTCGTAGAAGTTGTCACGCGGAGCTTTTTCGTAGTTATCGCAAAGCAATATCTCAAACGTGGGTAATTAAACCGTCTATAACAGTAATAGTTCAAGAATAACCAAATGCAAACATCGGCACAATACAGAGTGTAATGTGGTATCGTTATCAATAAGTGAGTGTAAGGCTGGTTAGTAGCTTTGCTATGGGCTAGTGAAACAGTACTGTGTGCATATAGAATACATCAATAGATGAGGCACATCAAGGGATTCGTATAAGGTCATAATACCTGACTCACAAACAACATTACTATACGGTTACGCGCTATATATAGGCTTGTGAGTATATTGCGATGAGGTTAACGTGGATACAAAACAGAGTTAGCGTGTTTAGAGGTACGTGACAGCAAAGTTAATATACAGCAGTTACTACGTACATTAAGAGTTGACACCATGGATTAACTACGTGGCGCATCACACATGACAAACACGGGGGCGAATACGGTACTGACTCACGGAGACTATTTAAATGTTTCCTGGAGGAGACGGTGCTTTGGCACAGGTCTAGAACTTTTGACGAAAGCATTCGTCGACTTCCGCATCCAGCTCCTTCGTGATCAGGTCAGATGACTGAGGACGATTTCCCAAACAACTTCATGCCCTTTGTGTTATCGTACTCGTGATGGTTTGGAACAGAAACAACACACAAAAAGTTCCGATTGCATAAAAAGAGCTTGGATAACAAAGGATGTCTGCGACAACCAAAGTTACGAATGTGGTTACCACAGTCCTACGGTAAAGAATAGTAACTATTATGGGAACAGTTGCTATAATATCAATCTTTTCAGATGCCGACCTTTACGCTCTTCTTGAACATACTGATCGAAAAAAATTCCATGTGATCACCCTAAAAGAGACGAAAAACATGAAGACCAACATATTCAAAGTAGATGATGGAACACTTGTCATTCCTTGGAAGGGAGTTTCCATTATGGAAGGTCGGAAGCATTGGCTTTGCGCAAATCCGTCTGTTTTCCATCCAGTCATCTCATGGGAAATTCTATCATCGCGCCTGGTAGCTCAACCTCTTCAACTTCCATGTCAAAAAAAGTCACTGTCATCAGATGATAATCACCAACTTAAACAGCTGATGAGAGCAAACTAGACGTGTTTTACAAACAGTTGGAGAAAATAATCTTCGCCTAGAAGTCCTTATATAAATTCGTTGGAGACTTCAGAGCCAGATTAAGAACGGCCAGCGAAACGGAATACATGATAGAGAAATTCGGAATGTGGGTAAAAAAATAATGGAAGCTACCTTGTAGGACTGATGTCCGCAGCAAGTCCCTTACACAGGAATTCATTTACAGAAGAGGAAGAAAATCGCTGTGAACATAAGAAACTCCTCTAAAGGCATAAAGGCATAACTCATTTGGTGGTCGACCATATTCCCAAATATAGAAAATTATGTCTCTTTGACAACTCAGTTGATCTAGTCAACGCCTTCTCCGTGAAAAGATTCGATTCATCTATTAGCTGAAAAAACTATGGCTTTTCTAGAATACAAGTCATGTATGACGGGGATCACTTGTATCACCTGTAGTCCCGTTGATCGTCGAGTGATTCGAGCGAGCGCTAGTAAATCTTTCATTTTTCCTTATCGCGCGCAAGAGTAGCCCAGTGGGTTCTGCTCACTCTATGGACTCGTCGAGCATCATATCTTTCTTCTAGTCTCTTCGTGAAGAACTCTGACCATCGGGTCGGTGGTCTACCTGCAGTAAGTTTGACATCCTGAAGAATCCAGTCACTAACGGCTCCTGTCCATCGGTTGTCATTCATAAGCATTTCGTGTCCGGCCCACTTTGTCTTCAACTGTTTGGCGTACAGAACGGCATCTTTGATTTTTGATCGCTGACGCAGATCGGAGCTTCGGATCCCATCCTTTACTTGTGTAAAATGAGATACTCCTAGCATCGTTCTTTCGACTGCGCGTTCAATAAGGATGAGTGATTTTTCATCCCGTTTAAGCAGCGACCGGGTTTCTTACGCATACGTTAGGGCAGGAAGCACCGTTGAGTCGAAAAGGTGGGCACGGAGTCGGGTGTTCTTTGTCCTCTTCACTACATCCTCGATGCTCTTGGAAGCTCCTCAGGTCGCTCGTTTCCTTATGCTCAGCTCTGGGGCTAAGTCGTTCATCATATTGATTTCTCGACCTAGATAGACATAACTGAAGCGTTCGGAGATATTCGTTCCGTTGAGCGTGAATGGGGCATACATGAGCATCCCGTCATGACGGGAATATTCTGAATAAAATCCTCTTCCTATACGACTAGCAGATAAATGAAGAGTCAACCAAGGACTACAGGATACCTAGCAAAGGATTCAAAGGCTGGCTTCAGTTCCTCAAACAAGAAGTTCAGAACGCATCTCCATTACGTCCAAGAGCTGCTTGGAAGAAAGAAGAAAGCTGAAACTTCATCCTACTGCAATTAATAAAAAAATCTTGCTTAAAGTAAGCATAACACGGCTGATAATATATGCCAGCTGAAGAAGGTCTTTCCTGGAGGATCTACATCGGAGTAGACGGAAAAATTATTGGAAGCAACTCAAAAACATGTCCTCAATAGAGATGCGCTATCAGGTCCGATGAACGATGGTAGAGTTATAACCACAATAATGCTGAGATAACCACAATGATGTTGAAATAACTACTATGATGCTGAGATATTTGCAAAACTCCGGACCGCAAGTGTTCGCAGTGGGGAACGAACGCGCTATTGTCCTTCCCGGGGAGTAACGCGTTCATCACCACACCATGCGGGTCCCTCGTTAGGCTTTGCATGCCGTGCCGATTTGTGCTCCCGAAATCAATCCCGTCGACGGTTGACTGATGATGGCATCTCCAAAGCGCGGCTTAGAGAACGGCGAAGCGAAAAACTTGCATGGTATGGTGGTAAAAACGTTAACTCCGGAAAGTGAAATAGAGGGTTCGATCCCACCGCATACACCTACGGTCCGGGGTTTTACAAATACCTCCATCATTGTGGTTATGTTTTGCGTCATACCCTACCATGAAAAAAAATGCAGCAAATAAAAAGTGATTACGTGATGATGGGACTATTGCCACATCTCCCCAAGGTAGCTTCTATACCACCCTCTTCCGTTCCACAACTGCTATTTCTAACTCCACAGTCCGCGCTGGAGAAATACCACCTGAAATTCTTTTAGCGAAGTCTGAGTTAAGAGTGTATTCTATAAACTGTTCACAAAGAGCATAATTTTGCACGTACCAAATACCTTGGATGAGGAAGAACCATTTAATAAAGCATGAATCCGATAGGAATCCTGCTTCATGACCCATATCCAAACCGTATGACGGATCATAGAATTCTGCTGGCAGGCTCTTGTCCTAACCCTTATCGATTCCGAAAAAGCGCTTGACAGCGACGAAGCGAATGCAATCCTACCAGCGCTCGTCGACCAAGGAGTGGAACCGTCCTATGTATGAACCCTAACAGACTGTTATCGGAACTACAGAGCAATTTTACAGCTTTGTCATCGACCTCTTACCATATCCATAGCAAAAGGGGTTCGACAAGGCGATACAATGTTGCCAAAACTGTTTACTGGCATACTGCAGTGATAATGAAGCCACTCAATCGGGACGGGGAAATCATACCTTTTGATGGGAAATTCCTCCAAATTTTGGTTTCGCGAATGACATCGTCACCTTGTCAAAGAGTACAAAGAGACAATGCTCAATGGCCTCAACGAAGCAGAGACAAGACTGGGCTGCGAATAAATAGGTTCAGTTCATGAACAACCATTTTGCGAACGTGAACGAATAGAACTAGATGGTTCTCTTATTACGGAGACCACCTCGTACGTGTACCTTAAACGTTCAATGAATATGAAGAACCACATGAATAAGGAGTTAAACAGAAGAAGGAGCGCATCATTGGCCGTATTGAGGCGGCTCAAAGAAGCCACCAATTAACTAACGGACCCGAAAATTGACTCTCACCTTATCGTTTCAACAGCCTTCTTAGCCTTCTCAAGGAGTGGGCTGATATTTCAACCTTGAATGATGTCTTTTAAAATTTAACTGGCAACTACGTCGTCTAACTTGAATGAGCAGGTCAGATCTTCGAAACCAATCACGTCCTAACGACCATCCCGGAGAGTCGAAAGCGAAGCACATATGGGTAGGTCACATAACCGCAGACAAGAGAAGGACGAAGAAGAACAGTGGAATAGACACGGAGAAAATGCAAGTGTCTCCCTGTACGGCCACACAAACGATGGGCAGACGTGTTCATGGCTAATGTCAACCATCTGTATTCGCTGATGGGAACGATTTCAGGATCACGGAATGGGAGTCTGCATTACCAATGATGACGAGCTATCCAAGTAAGAATCTAAGTAAATCACTCAACAATGTCTAGAGTAAAAGTGTATTACCGTTTACCTCATTCGTGCGATGATCCATTCCATTCGATTCGACTCGACGCGAGTAGGATGATCTCAACGCTAGAATAAACAGCTGAGACAATCGGAATGACTCCGAATCAGGGATGGCGCTGAAGCATTAGCCACAATGTCAAATTTTAATAAAACCTATCAACAAAGAAAAAATGAAAAAATCTGGAAACACAGTAACTCAAGTATCAATTTAGAGTAACCTGGTCGGTGTATTTTCTCTACAACTTTGGATACTGTATAGTTGAGATATATATTAGTGAGTTTCGAAGAGGGCATGGAAGAAAGCGAAATTCGCTGAAACGTCAGCTGCTGCAAATAAATCATATGTCATAACAACAACAACATATAGTAGTGAAAAATTATAATAACAGCAACTGCCACGACCGACTTTCTATTAACCTCGGCATTGATCAAGTGATTTTGTTCGTATTTTTTTTGAGCAAACGCGAGGTGTTATTGTTCTTTGTTCACGATTAAGCTGACGTTTCGGCGAATTTCGCCTTCTTCAGAGCCTGGAAAGGTCAAGTTGATAGCAACTCACTCGGCCAGACGCCTCCATAACCAAACAAAGAAAATATCGCTAAAGAACATCAAACAGATCACGTTAGGAGAGGTAATGTGCAAGAAAATTCAAGGCTAACCGTATTAGGAGGCATAACTCTCCCTGACGGTGCGTGCTCGTTATTACAATTGGGGCCGAGTTTCTCACCATCTGAACCCATTTCTAAGATAACCTTGCGTAGGGTCGCATGTGGTTTACATGAACTTCAAGATGGACTCCGCAAAAAAGCTAGAGATGAAGCGCTAAATAGGTGTGAACAACATCAAGTGGGGGCCCTACCAATAGCACCATTTCCCCCAACGTTCTTTAGACAGCAAGAGCCCAATAATGAAGTTGATGTTAAATTTCGGATGTTTGCGAATGAAACTCTCAAAGTCCTTAATCACTATCGCGCGAAAAGATACAGCTCCAACCTCACTCCAGTGCAAAAACGTGGTATGCGAGAGGTACGAGAGCTGATAAGGTTGAAAACCATAACACTTTCCGTTAGTGATAAGGGTGGAGAGTTTGTCGTAATTCCTCATCAGTTACATATGGAGATAACGAAAAAGCATCTTGAAGATGCTTCGCTTTATCGCCCATCATCTGAGGAGGAATTCAAAAGTAAAAACCGAAAACTAAACCACGAATGGGCCAAAATGGCAAGGGCTGCTGGTTTAAAACCATCAGTTATCTCTCAACTTAAAGTTGACTTACCAACATGCCCCGTCTTGTACTTACTTATAAAAACTCATAAGTTANGAGATGAAGCGCTAAATAGGTGTGAACAACATCAAGTGGGGGCCCTACCAATAGCACCATTTCCCCCAACGTTCTTTAGACAGCAAGAGCCCAATAATGAAGTTGATGTTAAATTTCGGATGTTTGCGAATGAAACTCTCAAAGTCCTTAATCACTATCGCGCGAAAAGATACAGCTCCAACCTCACTCCAGTGCAAAAACGTGGTATGCGAGAGGTACGAGAGCTGATAAGGTTGAAAACCATAACACTTTCCGTTAGTGATAAGGGTGGAGAGTTTGTCGTAATTCCTCATCAGTTACATATGGAGATAACGAAAAAGCATCTTGAAGATGCTTCGCTTTATCGCCCATCATCTGAGGAGGAATTCAAAAGTAAAAACCGAAAACTAAACCACGAATGGGCCAAAATGGCAAGGGCTGCTGGTTTAAAACCATCAGTTATCTCTCAACTTAAAGTTGACTTACCAACATGCCCCGTCTTGTACTTACTTATAAAAACTCATAAGTTAACTCAAAACAGCGATGATTTTGTGTCTAACGTTCCATCACTATTTAAAGTTAGACCTATCATTAGCTGCGTAGACGGACCAACGGACAGGATAACATGGTTTATAACCCTAATATTTAACCAGTTGTTAAAACACATTCCAGCCCATTCCAGCTCTTACGAATACCCAGATGTTTATGGATCGTCTACGTACTGCGCAGCCCAACAGCGCGTGCGTGATGGAGTCCTTCGACG